CAGGCCCCCACCCCGCGAGGGGCAGCCAGGAGACCGGGACCACTCGGGGGACACGGCCCCCGCTGCCACCGCGGCTCTGGGTGAAGCGCCTCCCCCACCCCCCTCACGGCCAGGGCTCCGTGGTTCCCGTCTTCTCTCTGAGCCCTTCCCTCACTTTCTGGCAAAATCACTCGTGACCAGTCACGCCCCGGAGCAGCGGGGAGGCGTCCTCTGCGGGAGCCAGAACAGAGGGGACATGAGGGGCGACTCGCGGCCTGGAGGGCCCCCCTGTGCCCGGGCTCCACGGAGCCCTGCGTGGCCCTTCGCGGCCCCCACGGAGGCAGCGCGAATCTCCCCTGCCCCTGCCCCTGTCTCCAAAGCAGGCTGCGCGGTGGCTGACATTTCCCAGCATTTGGGGTCCCGCCTGCTCCCCTAAGCGCCCAGCTATGGAGCCACTTGGGGAAGGGGCTCCCTGGAACGTGAGCTTGGAAGGGAATTGAAGGCCCCAGCAGCCCCACCCCCCCCACACCGGGGGCACCTCCCAGGACCTGGCTGCGTGCCACCTGCTCACCCCTGGTGTGTGTGGGGGGGTGCTCTTTGGGAGACTCTGGGCCTGCAAGGCTCTGCGAACAGGCCCAGCCCCCCACCCGCGCCCTCCCTCACTTGAGCAGCGGCTGCCCAGCAGGATGACGGGCAAAGACACGGGGACATGTGGAAGATGAGGTGGCCATGGCGGTGAAGACGGACAGTGAGCAGTTCCATGGTGCATTTTAGCGGTTTCCTGTTTGGCTGGCCCTGCAGACCGGCAGCACGCACGCCCTGCTCATCTCCAATCCCACCGGCGCCCACCCTTCCTCGCCCTGCGCTCTCTCGATTCCTCAGCAATCCCCGCAGCCTCCTCACGTGGCCGAGGCGCCGCTCCTGGGGCCTGTGGACTGTCACACGTGGTCGTTGCTGAGCTACCAGTTGGTGGGGGGAGGGGCGGGCAGGTTGTGCGCAGGGAGGAGGGGGAGGGTGGTGATAGCAAATGGCAGCTTCTCTTCCAGCAACAGGAGATCAGCCATCATGTGACGTCAACTCTGTCAGGTGGTGCTGGGAGCCAGGAATTGACCGGTGTGGTCAGGTGGCACCTGAACTCCTGTGTCAGGGGGTAGGTATCGGGTTTAATAGAACATCATTTACTGGTAATTTATTATACGTATGGCATGGGCCTAGGGCAGTGGTCGGCGAACTGCAGCTCGTGAGCCACATGTGGCTCTTTGGTCCCTTGAGTGTGGCCACGAAGTTTCAATCGCACTGTACGTGCGCACGCCCGCACGTGGTATTTTGTGGAAGAGCCACACTCAAAGGGGCTGCAGTTTGCCGACCACTGGCCTAGGGCCTAGGGCCTACAGGAAACACCAACAAGGGTGAGCCATGTTAAACTCCCGGTGTTTTACCTTTCCCACAAGAATCGACTAAGTCGTGTTAAGACTCTGATCTCTGCCCTCGCCTGTTTGATTCAGTGGATAGAGCGTCAGCCTGCGGACTGAAGGGTCCCGGGTTTGATTCCAGTCAAGGGCACATGCCTGGTTGCGGGCTTGATCCCCAGTAGGGGGTATGCAGGAGGCAGCTGATCAATGATTCCCTCTCATCATTGATGTTTCTATTTCCCTGTCCCTTCCTCTCTGAAATCAATTAAAAAAAAAAAAAAAGACTGATCTCCAAAATTTGTGCTGAGTCTAGGTTTGGATATCACATTGGTCCTCATCATAGCGAGTCAGCATTCACTGACTGAGCGGGAACATGAGGAAAAGGCGTGTTTATAAATATTTCCTCAGCTTCTGCGTCACATTTCCCTCTATGAACGGTAAGATGGGTGACTCAGCAGATTTCATTCTCACTTAACCCCAACCCTTAGGGTTAGGGTTAGAGTTTGGGGTTAGGTTTAGGGTTAGAGTTTAGGTTTAGGTTTAGGGTTAGGGTTAGAGTTTAGGGTTAGGGTTTACATTAGGGTTAGGGTTAGGACTAGGGTTAGGGTTTAGGGTTAGGGTTAGGGTTAGAGTTAGAGTTTAGAGTTTACATTGGGGTTAGGGTTAGGACTAGGGTTAGGGTTAGAATTTAGGGTTAGGGTTAGGGTTAGGGTTAGAGTTTAGGGTTAGGGTTAGAGTTTAGGGTTAGGGTTAGGGTTAGAGTTTAGGGTTAGGGTTCGAGTTTAGGTTTAGGGTTAGGGTTAGTGTTCGGGTTTTGGGTTGGGTTTAGCATTAGGCTTTAGGGTTAGAGTATAGGGTTAGGGTCAGGGTTATGGGTTAAGTTTATCGGTGCATTGTTTTCAAAAGTAAAGCAAATACCATTTTCCCGATTGATTTGAAAGAGAGCGGAAGGGAGAGGGAGACAAGCATCCATGAGAGAGAAACATCCGTCCGGGGTCCTAGCGGTTAACCTGAGCACGTGCCCTGACTGGGCACTGAATGATGACCTTTTAGATGCACGGGACATGCCCACTCGAGCCCCCGAGCCAGGGTGCCAACTCCATTCTGATGTAGAATCGCTAAATCCCGGCAATGCCACTGTGGGAAGTGATGGCGACTAGTGCGGAGTGTGTCCTCACCCGGGACGGCTCGAATGGCCTTGGGAGTTGCTTTGTGCTTCTGAACTTAACCCCCCGAAGAGGACGGGGCTAAAACAAGATAAGGCGTGCGCCTGGTCCTGGGCCTGCCGGCAGGCCGCATACATGGGCTGTGGCCGGCTGGGAGGCCGAGGAGGGGATTGTGCGAGGGACCACATGGCCTCAGCATCCCAACCGCCCCACTGCCTGGTGCAGATCCCGCCAAACTCAGAGCATCCTCCCCAGAGGTCCTCCTCCAAGCCTGTGGCTCCCGCTCTCTTCCATTCGTTTGTATTTTGTGGTGGACTTAGCCCTCTTCTTAGCTCTAATCATCTCCCTGATAAGCAAGTACCAAGAAGCCAGGGGGTGTTGGCGGGCGGGGATGGCAGCCGTTTTCCTTCTCAGCTGCCTCTCTGCCGGACTCAGGAAAACTCAGGCTGCGTCCCGTCCTGAAGAAGCCAGCGTATCCGCCGTGGACGCCCTCCTTGTCTCCAACAGCGTGACTGTCCCAGCGCCGGCAGGCCTGCCGGGGGCTGACGTCTGGGACCAGGCTGACCCAGTGTGCATGACCCCGTGCTGGGTGAGGCCAGGCTGGGACCCGGGGGGTCTGGTTGATGTTTATTGGGCCCGAGTGTGTGGTTGGTCCTTAGGGACTTACAGGGACACCATGAAAAGAAGAGGCACATTTCCTGAAGGCAGGCCATGTCACTGGCTTTGGAGTTGCCTAACCTGCCATAGATGGAAGGTGCCGAGTCTAGGTCTGACTACACAGCAGGGCGATAATACAGCAAAGCATTTCAACCCTTTAAATCAGACTTAGGATCTGCTAAGGACACCAAGGTTGCAGGCCTCCCCATGGGCTGGGCACAGTACTCGCTTTTGTTCCTGGCGTCAATCATAAAAGGATTATTTGCGTAAAGGAAAATACCTTCTTAAACCATTCGACGGGCAGTTCAGAAAGGATTTCGTTAAGAGTGGGACAAAGGGGGATGCTTTTGTGTTGCCCAGCAGGGGCGCTTCTGACATTTTGTGGGGGACAGTCCTTCCTCGGGGCCCGAGTGTCCCAGTCCTCCCGCTGGTTGCCAGCAGGGCCCCCCAAACACTGTGACCACCAAACCACCTGCACACACTCCAAGGACAACCAGGGACCGAGGAAGATACACAGGACTCATTATTAAATTACAATTTGCTTTTAAAGAAAATATTGTGCAAAGCAAACCCCCTTCCTCTGGGAACTTACTTCAAACCTGGCCCCCGTCTGGGCGCCCACACCTGTCCACTGACCATGACGCATTCTGTCTGTAGTCAACCCCCCTGGAGCGCCAGCCCACTCAGCCACCTGCTCCTCGCTCAGCTAACAGGGAGGAAAGGCTTTGAGGCCCCAAGTCCCTGGGAGGATGCCCCCACGTCCTCTCCTGAACTCGTTCCATTGGGGTGTGGGGGGAGCCCTCTCGGTCAGTGGTCGGCGTTTTAACATGGTCTGAGTCGAGGTGAAAAATTACTTGATCCTGTCCTTGCTGGGCCTCCTTTTTATTTATATGGTTAGTTACTTTTATTTTAAAAATACTGTTTCTGTTTTTATTGATTTCGGAGAGAGGGAGAGGGGGATAGAAACATCAATAAGGAGAAACATTGATCGGCTGCCTCTTGCGCACCCCACATTGGGGACGGAGCCCACAAACCAGGCATGTGCCCTGCCGGGAATCGAACCCTGACCTCCTGGTTGATGGGTCGATGCTCAACCACTGAGCCACACAAGCCACGCCTGCTGGGCAACACAAAAGCATCCTTTTTATTTGTTACTATTTTGGTCCTTTTAAGAAGCCGAGGAAAGGGTGGGGTCTGCAGGCCACGGTTACTCATTTCACTCATCAGAGGAAGATGTAGCCGGTGGCGGCAGGACCAGCACAGGCTGTCACAGCTGCAGCGGCAGAAAGTTCTCTCCAGCCCCAACGTATGGACAGACACAACCCTCATCCTGCATGGACACCAGGTGCCAGCGCGGGCTGCCCGTGTGCCCACTGGACTGAGGGTGCACAGCTGGGAGGCCCTCTGGAGGTGACCCCTCTGCCTGCAGCGGTCATGTGACAGAGCAGTGGTCAGGGACAAAAAGGAGTCTCGCATAGTTACCTGCGCCAGGATGCGATTTCAATAAATGCTTGTTGCCCGTCTCCCAGTGCTTACCCAACAGTGAAAATGGTGGCCTTGTTATGTGTGTTTCGAAGAAAGCAGAGGAGCTGGTGGGTATCTGATCCCTCCCACCCTCCTGCAAAACACCTCTGGAGGCAGGTCAGCCAACCCCCGAGAGAGCTGGGGGTGGGGAGGGGGACAGACTCCCACTTCGGGGGGTCAGCCCTGTGGTCCAGGTGAGGGATGCCAGCCTGAGGCATTCTTGGCAGGACTTCAGACAGGTGAGCGGACACCTGCACTGTGCCTCGCCGTTCACGGGGCGGGGGGGTGGTGGTGGGGGGGGACCCGGTGCATCAGCAGAACCTGCAGCGGGAGGGAGCGCCGGCATTGCCATGGCTTTCCAAGGACGTGGTAGAGAATGGAGAGAGGTTCTGTGGAAACGCAGACGCTCCCCAGGCCGGGGCGCCCGTGGCTGCAGCTGAATGAACAGCACCTGTGTGTTTCGTGTCGGAAGTTCCGGCAGAAAATGGAAATGTGGGGAGTCGGACGTGACTACAGCGGTTACCGGCTTCATCACTGCCCTCACAATGTGACATGGCTTTCATGTTCTTTATTATTCTGTAAAAGGTAACAAAATATACAGAACAAGGTTTTCCCTTTTTAACTAATGTTACAAACCCATATTATTGCTTATATATAAATATTATATTCTATAGCTGATCATTATTAATCAGGTGTGTGAGCCCAACCATGGAGCCTCCAACTGTTAAAACCAGGAGCTTATCTAAGCGTGTGTCCTCCTGTGCTGTTTATCCGGAATGAGCGAGGACGCTGCTGCCCGAGAGAGGAAGTCACTGTGTGCATGTGTGTGAGTGCTTTTGACCAGTTTTCAAGCCTCAAAAACATAAATACAGAGATGCATCCTTCACAGAAATCAAGTACAATCAATCAATCTGGGCTAATTTCAAATACAGACGGAATATGGCACGGACTGGAGCCGCAGAGGGTGCTGTAATGACACGGCTCTCACACGCCAGCGGAGCTGCCCCTCAGGCGTGCAGTGGCCCTTTCCTTGATTCGATCGGCCCTGCCCCCAGCACAGACAGGAAATGATTCAATAATAACAACAGTAAAAATCAGGCCGTTTGGCACTATGATACAAATGGGAAGTAACCAGGGAAGCCTCCCACCCCAGCCCCGGAACGTTCCGCTGGAACAGCTACTCTCTTTAAGGAACTGGGTACGAGGAGGGTCTAGATCAGAGAACTACGAATAAGAGTTTCAGTCTGCGTGCGACCGCAGGGCCCAGGCGCAGGCCGGCCTGCAGTGCCGCGGCCTCACATGGCCTCGAACTCGTCGATGCGCTGCTTGGTGTTGCCCTGCCGGATCTGCCGCAGCGTCTTGTACTTGTCGCGGCCTTGCCTCATGTTCTCGTTGTGGATGATGTCGTTGTGGGTCCTCTTGTTCTCGTCTCTGGCCTGGGACAGCTCGCTGGACAGAGTCTGCAAGCCAAGAGTCAGGGTCAGGCCCCCGCCACCGCCCTCCCCGGAGAGTGGGTGCTGGGGGGCTCCCTGGTGGCCCTCAGGCCGCCGGCCCCAGCGGGGAGCCCGGGGGCCCCGAGAGCCGGGCGGTGCCGCCCGTCCCGCCCTCACCATCAGCTGCTGCTGCACGCGCAGGTTCTTCTCGGCCTCGGTGACCCGCTTCTCCTCGTGGCGGTCGTCCAGGATGCCCTCGCTGGACAGCTCGGCGCTGTAGCCCGAGTCCTCCGCGCCCTCCTCCTGCAGGTTCTCGCGGACGTGATAGGCCACCGGCTCGTACACAGGGGGCGGCGGGGGCGGCGGCGCCGTCATCACCAGCTGCAGCTCCTCCTTGGTCTTCACCAGGCCATCCTGGGCTCTCTTGGCCTTGGAGAGCGAATCGACAGTGAGCACGTCTCACACAGAACCGTGGCCTGGCCGCTTCCTCCAGAAGACCTTCCTTCATGGAGGCGGCGGTTCCCCCTGCGAGTAAGGACCCCCCTCATCCCCACCTCCCCTTCCTCCTGGCAGGTGCGCAGCATGAGCCACAGGAGGTGACTGCGCCAACCAGTGTCCCCGCAGCTCAGAGAGAAACTGATGCCAGGGTTTGACATTTTTCTAACTATCTTTTCTTCTGTCTATAATCCTAGCATGTGCTCACTGTACATGGTTTTTTTGGGGAAAAAATTTATTAAAGAAAAAATATCCTCCCGCCTGCAAAGAGCCAATCGGTGCTGGCGCCCGGCTTTCTTCCTTTCCCGTGGCCGCTGCTTGCCAAGCTCCCGCCCCCAGCACGGCGCTCAGGGAGTTCTCCCCGTCACCCCGATCCTTCCAGCAAGGTCTCAGGGGCACATAACTGAACCCCACCCACTTTGCCACCCAAATCCCACGGATGAGCTTCGTTTATAGCTGGTTTGTAACCAGCTTTTCTCACTTAATGCCGTGTAATAAGCACTTTCTCCAGAAACCCAAGGACCG